AGAGAGAGAGAGAGAGAGAGAGAGAGAGAGAGAGAGAGAGAGAGAGAGAGAGAGAGAGAGAGACGGGAAAAAGAAACAAGTAAAATCGAGCATTTTTATGGCGAGCGGAGGTACACGTAGCGTGTGACGAGGTGTGCGCGTCGATGCACGGCGTACACATCGCGCACGGAGACAAAGGCTCGACGGAGATGGCGGAGTTGTACTCGTCGGGAGTAGACAAGCGACGTCGCGTGGCATTCATCGACATCCGCTTGTGTTCTCGACGTGGACGACGAGATGGGCGATGGCGGACACGGACAGGTGTGCAGCGGTATCCTGGAGCGGATGGAGTCTCCGATACTGAGACTCTCTTTGTCTCCGTCTCTCTTTCGTTCACGCGCTCGCTGTCTCCGTTCATCGCTCGCTCGCTCGCTCGTTCGTTCGTTCGTTCGCTCGTACACTCTCGTTCGTACGCTCGCTCCTTCTCCGTTGCACTCGCTCGCACGCTTTAGCCAACACACAATCGCTCGCTTACCCGATGTGGTTCTCGACGGTAAAGGGATCCGGTTCGCGTTTTTCCGACGTGATCTCCGCACGTAGCTGCGCGACGACGAGAACGACGCGCTCGGCATCTTCGTGTCGTCGGCGGCTCTCGGCGGTCGTCCTCGTGTACGTCCCCGTTGCCGTCGTTGTCCTCCTCCTCTTCTTCCTTCTCCACCGCCCACGGCCCTCTTCCTCTTCCTTCTGCACCTCCTAATCCGCGCTCGATCGCGACTCGGCCTACCTCCCGGCTTCCAGGGATGCGCGAGGTACCCTCCCCGGTAGTAGGGCGACCGCCGCGGTACCCGTAATCGCGAACGCGCACGGCAGAAGCTGCCAAAAGCTTAGGACACACTGCACAATAGCGACACTACCACCGTACAAAACCGGCGGCCATCTTCTTTTAGTAGTCTCTACTTGCCGACTGGCCCAGAGGGCAGCCGCCAATCGGACGAGTTTCTGTCCCCTAGTGCCGCGCGCCTCTCGTCCCCCATTCGCGACTAGCGCCACGCCGTGACTCCGTTCCCCGCTGACCCTCCTTGCCTATGTACTGGGCTCCCCTGGCCGCTCCGCTTGTCTCCTCGCCCACGGACGCCACGGGGCTTATTACCGAGCCCCCCTTCCGCAGTGGAGCGCGACACAAGCGACCGACATCGGTTATGGAGTTATGGAGGCCGCGGAGCGAAGTACCGATACCTCGCAAAATTGCATCTCCGCGATTTTCGCGTGCCTCGCGCTCTCGATCGTGTACGTGGCGAGCCTCTATGTCTGGTGTTCGTCGCACAACAGGTACGTGTCCTATTACGTTCCGCGATCCAACGAGATAAAACCTCAAGCAGGAGCGTCGGTAACTCGTATGTACAGATGATGTAAACAGAACGTTCACGCTATTTTCCTTTCTCGTTTTCTCGAGTGTGTACCGTAGCGTGACTCCTCTTTGCGAGGAGAGATCGTTTTGTCCGCACACGGTATTACTTGCTCGATAAACCGCAACACGCACCGTTTCACACCGACTGGATGGACATTCGCGACTGACGCACGCCGTCTAGCACGTGGTAGCGCCCCCTGTCGATCGGGTGGGATCGTTCGCCGAGGTTTTTGGACAAGCGACGCCAGTGTCGTCGCGCGACTTTTGTGTAAAATGGACTTCTGGTGAATTGACGATTCTAGTGACAATTCGTCGGATGGGGTTTGCGAATCTGAATCTGAGCTCGCGATGCTCCACACGGCGCGATATTTGAATTGCGTGAACGCGACGATAACGCAACGAGCTCTGGTTACTCGCGAAACTCGTTAATTTGTATACTGGATGTGTACTGGTGAAAATTTTGTAATTTTGTTTGTTTCAGAGAACATCCGTCGACGATAAAGAAACGATTTTTTAGCGTGTTTATCATGGCCCTCATCTCGCCGGCATCGTTGTACTTTGGATTAAACGAGAAAGTGTTTCAAAAGGTATTTCCGATTGAAATGTACATAGAACGTTCTGCATAAATGTACATATGTGTATATAACAATTTTTTCACAATTGCATATTGCATTTGATAGGCAACCATCTGGGAGTTGTTGGGTCTTCGATGGTCAGGTTTAATACAAGCGACTGTAATACCGTTACTATTAACGATGATCTTGTTCCTAGGTCCCTTGAGTCTGCAAGGACTTAGCGGGCTATGGCGACTATATACTGGTTAATATTTTAAACCCAACTGAGAACCGAGAACCCGATAACTAAAATAATATTTATTGTAGAACCGATGTACTGGTTAGGAAGTGTACGAACTTTAATCTGGTGGCGGAATCAAGTGGTAGCTCCATTGTCCGAGGAATGGACCTTTCGCGCTTGTATGTTGCCGTTGCTCTTGCAGTGCTTCACGCCAACCACTGCCATATTTGTGTGTCCGTTATTTTTCGGGGTAGCTCATTTTCATCATGTAGTAGAGAGAGTGAGGATGGGAATGGATATCAAGCACGCGTTGTTCATGTCCTGTAAGTTCTTTTCTTTTTTCTTTTTTTTTTTTTTAATATATCTGTAAAAATCTCGCTTCTTCTTCCTCTCTGTAAATCGCGCGCTGTGATTCTAGGCTTCCAGTCTGCATACACGACGTTGTTCGGAGCATATGCGGCTTTTCTCTTCGCAAAGACAGGTAGAATTAAGTTTTTTTCTTGCAGTAAATATATATATTATTAAATATATATGTTAATTATGTTATATATTAATAATTATTTATATATATATATATATTAGTTTTCTCTATATAATTTTTTCTTAGGACATTTTATTGCACCATTCGCCGTGCATTCGTTTTGTAATCACATGGGATTTCCCGATCTTTCTGAAGTAGTGGCGTACAAAAATCCGCTAAAGAGAGCTGGACTTATGTGTCTGTTTGTTATCGGTTTGATCGCCTGGTGCTTCTTGTTAACTCCTATGACACATCCGTCATTATATTACAATAATTTATTCTGGACTAAAACTTTTCTGTGAGATTGTATACGTCCGATCTTTACAATAACGCAATTTAATCCGACACAAATACAAAAACTTAACAAACAGAATTACAAATTTTCGCGCGGGATCCGTCATAATCGCTCCATCTCGATCTAACAATTCGTATAAATTGTTGTGTGATATTTTTTATATTTGTGTCTAACAGAGAGTATAACTCATTATCTGTTAAAGACTTGCGGAGAGTGTGAAATAATTTTAAATTAATTAATTACTAATTTTAACTATATAAACATTGGATAACGATACATAATTTAATCGATCGTGTGAGCTCTCGACATATTGTTATTAATAACATCACCACATAGTGCCTATAAGATTCCATTACATTTTTATAGTTAATTGTCAAACAATTGATTCGGATAGATAAACTTGATTGCGAAATCAGGATGAGGACAAATCTGTTTACGAATTGAACACCACTTACTCGCATACGCTGGCAATACAATCGCGTTATTTCACGTTCAATTCAATTATTTGTATTAATCTTTGTTAAAGATTTCTTGCAAACACAAATTGTAAACATAAACTTAAGGAACGATGAATGTAACTTATTACAAACATTTCGGAAAGGATATTTCTGATTATTTATACTTTTATAACAGTTTATGTGTATAACACGGTATGTACGTATGTATTACATCCATACGTATCGCAGCGATGAGGGTTGTTCAAATAAGCGAATACTCAATCGTACACGTACCCCAAATGGTTTTATTTGAATCACAGGAAAGTTACGAGTTACCCAACAACATTACAATGCGTTTTTATACATGTCCATACACATTAATGAACACACGTATACATTATATATGCAGTGAACTATAACAAAAATATATAAATAAATACTTATGTACACATAAATACAAGTATGTATGTAATAATGTAATTTGATGTTCGAATATTGTTTAATTGCATACATAATGTATACCATTTGTTAATCACTCATCGAGAAAGACTCATCGAGGAGAGTCTTGTAAAGTTTACATTATGATAAGATTTTCAAATGATAATCAGGGCATAAAATGTTGATAATAATGATATCGTGTTAATGTAATTATTAAGTGTTTCACAATCAAAGTAAAAACGCTAGAAATTGATTGAGATAACAACGTATCACGTTTGACTCCACGCCAACTTGTGAACGTGTAGAGATAAAGCGTCCATTTAAATTCGACGAAATTTGTCACTCTCGTCTCAATACGTTGTATTATTAAAACGCGAGAGTAAAACCTTATAATAAAAATTTTTTGTATTTACGGTTATTTTCATTCATTTTATAACAATGATACAGAATATATAATTTATAAACAAAAAACGTGTTAACTTGTCTTATCTATCAGTCCGTAAGTTTAGACAACGTCTATACTTCTTTCTAAGTTTGTCTTACCGAGACAGATTTACACGAGATAAAGGTGATCTGTTTTAAGAGGATTTGATAACTCTTTTTAATAAGAATATATATTATATAACGATATAAATATAGTACAAAAACTCGAATAAATTCTCCAATATGTACAAAAATGTTTTATTAGAAGTGATTTTCGAAAAACTTAGATATATGTATATATATCTATATATATATATATATAAATAATATGTAAATAAAAATTATTAATAACAATAAACAAAGAGTTCTCTCTTTTTCATAGAGAATTCTTCCGAGAGCAATAGCGCGCGACATTATCAAATCTCTTAAAAACAAATTTGCTAGACGTGTATTTATATACGTAAGTAGAACATTAAATGCATTACATTAAAACAATCATCTCAACAGTAACGGCTATTCTTCATATAGATTATAAGTGCAGTTATGTTCTTCGTTCAGATTGCATCGCGTTAAACAGATAAATAAAGAACTTTGGTGAAGTTCTAAAACGACACACTTTGCATGTACAGATGCAAAAAAAAAAATGTTAATTTTAGGAACTGACTACAGACTTTTTGTTTTTCGATTGTTTTTAGCGCGCAGAAAAGGACGTTATCAATAATTAACTAAAATGTATAAATGCAGATTCTGATTACCTCAGTCGGCGATCGGTCTCTTTAAGTTTGGCTCGGTCCAGGTGTCGCATCCGAATTTTGCGACTGATTAAGAAACAGCACATTGCTCGACTTGATTCTGGGCCCGGACGCAATTAACGAAGGCGACGGACTGATGCAAGGCGTTGAGCAGTGGCTGTTGCTCAAGTCGCATTGATCTAGTAACTTCCACAGCTCCTCTGGCGTAGGACCACCGGAGGTGTCTGTTGCTATGAAATATTATATAGATTGTAAAAATTTATCTTAGTAGATTAATAAATAAATAAACTTAATTGTACAAACGTATATATTATATAAAATAAATAATTGTTTCCTGTAAGATTATTTCAAATACATAATTCATGTTGATTTTCTGCTTCCTGTGCAGTTTCATAAATGCATTACGTTAATCATGCTCAATGTGAATCATGCTCAATTCTGTTACGTCACTGTAACGCGCGAGAAAGAGAGTGTCACATACCTTGAATGGCATTGAAAGACGGATCCAATGCTGTCGTGAGATCCCACATTTGTATAGTGCCGTTAGAATGGCCGGTGAATATAAAACGTCTGGGCCTTGAGCCCATGCGACTAGAACCTTCACACTCGTGCACATAGAACGAACTTATAATACTACCGTCGACCGACTGTATTACGCAAACTCTTTTTCCGTTCGATGCTAATCGGACGAACAGTTGATCAGTTTCAGGTACGACCTTCTGGACGAACACTTGTTCATCGTCTTGCTCACCAAAAGGTCCTGAAAAATCATAATCCGAGTATTAAATCAGAAAAAAATTGAATTAAAAGAATATTGTTGAATAAAAAGGGAAAAAATATATAAAAAAATCACTAAAAAAGATTAAAATAAATAAATGAAACAAAATGATGAAACAGATATGATATATGATGTACCGAAATCATTGCCGGCGTTGTAGCTGACGCAAGGATCGATTGCTTCTAAAGAAACAATCTTGAAACTCGCTTCAGGCGTCGATCCCGGTTGAGTTGAAATCATTCCGCGGAATCTAGTCACCGCCCAACTTCTGACGTGATTATACTCCGAACAAACCGATACTAAATACTTTTCCGAAAGTGTTACCTACGTTGTGTAAATTTACATGTCAATTAACACATGCAATGTCACACTTCAATTTATATAATACATATTAACAAACGAATTCTTTGCTAAATAAAAGTCGATTGAACGTACCTTAGTCACACTGCTTTGATGCACTGTAAAGGTTTGAAATAGCTGTGGGCCATGACCAACAGTTTCAGGATGCTGAACGATCACTCTGACACTTCCGGATTTTGTACCGTAGGCAATTTCTATCCAATTTCCACAAAGGCCTGCATCGGGAATAAAGTACTTAATTTCATAATTTATAGAATAAAATTTGTTGTAATATATGTATTACAAAGAATTACGTTTTAATACATAATAATATAATAATTATAAAAAAACAAAATATTTTGAAAATATACATAAAAACAATATTTATATAACACATGTTCTTAGATATCTTATTTTCAATATATTGTATATATAAATAATTTTCAAAGCGTAAAATATTTCATGCTGCACATTGCAACAATAAGCAGAAGCTATTGTCTATAAACAAAAATGTAACAATTGTGATATTATAAATTATAATAATTTTATAAAAATAAGCGACAACACTATATATATAAGTTTACATATAAATAATAATTAGTTGAAATCAATATGTGAGACTTATTTTTATTTAAAAACAGAATTACTAGAAATTTCTTATATCAACAAACAAAAATATATAAGCGAAGGTATTTTATTGGTATATATTTTCTATTACCTCCCCTTCCCCTCTCAGATGCTGGCATGGAACATATTACTATATATAGGAAGAGCAAGCAAGCAGCTCTAATGATGAAGAATAACTAAATCCACTGCGTGAAGCAATGTTAACCAATAAATCAAAGAGAACATTCCATTAGTACAACTGGACGCATAAGGATAGCAGGGTTGTATGTATATTAAGTTGTGTGCAATCGTTATAATTAATTGTATATAAAAATGTTTCATATTCTCATTTAATAAAAAAGAATTTATATTTATTTTGCGCGTTGGCTATTTTATTTGTGTGAAAAAAATAATTTATCCGCGAATAAATATTTTGTTCTAAACACAAATGTTTTTTCTGTACTACTATTATATAAATATATCACTTTATATAAATATATCACTATAATGCCAGTGCATTGACATAAAACTCAATGTTATCTGGAGAGGAAGGGTGTACATAGTTGCCCCTGTTTAAATCGCACGATTCACGTTTGATGCAGTTAGCACAAAGTGGAGGCAGATGACTTGTACGATTTGCTGAACATGAAAAAGATATATCGACCCATACTTGCCTTGTGCTATTTATCCAGTTGTACGAAATGACGAAGCAAAGAATGTAATAAAATCCCTCATTAATATTTTTAAACACGAACATCAAACTTCATAACATTTCTATATATCTTAATGTCTAAAATATACACTAATTAGTAAGAATAAGTTGTATTTACATCTACATAATTATTATGAAAATTTAAAAGCGTCCGGTTTTTATTTTACTACATGTAATCGAAATCGTCCTCGGGAAATTAATTTTACTGCAACGATAAATATTTGTTGTTATATTAATTCTGCACTCTACATAACATTTTAGCTTTGTAAACCTTTTTTTTTTTTATAAACGAGAGAGAAACATACTAGCTGCTTCTAAATAAATTTATCTTAGATTTTTGTAGTTTTTATTACTTGATGAGATTCCTATATCGACACAAGAATAAATATAAGAGACTTACTTGTTTTCGGCGTCAAATACACAGATATCGCAGTTATAGGATCGTAACTCGGATCTCGATATAACTCAGTCACGAGCAGGTCGTTATCCTTCATTCGCAAAGGAAACTTTTGCATGTCTATAATCAAGTTTGAAAACTTTGTTAACGTCAAAACTTTTAAGAAATTAGTTATGTATTAGAACACAAGTTTTAGGAATTTCAGTTTTAAGAATGTTTGTATCTCATTACCAATATAATAAATGGATCCGTTGTTGCAACCTAATAGAAGAAACGAGCCCGCGGTGTCAAAAGACAAGATGGGTACCACGTCCTGTATCTGCCAATGATGAGTCATCGCGTGCCACACGCCGATTTTCCCGGTCGGTGACAACGCGACTAGCTGACTGCCTATGAAGAATAAATATTCCACTCGTACGTTCAAGTTGAACGTGCCTACGTTGATTTTGATTCCTTCCTCAGATACACCCCAGAGTCTGACTTGACTACTGTACGATATAGCAACCATCTTGCCATCCGCACCGCTGCCCATTTTCGCGTTTATTGCAACGCGTTCTATTATGCACTCGATGTGTGGACTAGTGAACACGTGTTGCCATCCGGACGAATCCTTCAGTCGGTAGCACGTTATGAAGTGTGCGTAAGCAATCACGATCCAGTTGTGATGCGCCTTTATAATTTGCACTCTCAGTGGATCAACCCATGACGAAACTGCGTGTGAAATAGTTCCAATAGTGTCAGAAATAAAACGGAAAATAAAGCATCTTTTTATAAAAATAACACTATTTGTTTATTCACCTTGTTGAGGCCCGAATACCAGACCGATGTCATTTTTATATAGTTTATTTAAATCCGCGGAATTGTTTCTTACGTGTCTCAGATCTAAAGATGGTGTGCGAGAATGTGGTAGGCCGCGTTGTGGCAATCGATAATCCAAGGAAGAATTTCTTACATGTGTTCCTAGTGTTCCTTTGTAACTTTGTGAACCTGCTGCAAAATTTTGCTGTTAAACTTAATTGTCAAAGATTTCCTTACCAAAATTTATCTCAGAATCATTTTTCGCCAGTAGCAAAACTTTTAAATTTTACAAATATTTAAACAAATATTTTAATTTTTAAATTGTCTAATTGAAGAAACAATACATAAACTATCGATAATTATTAAACTATGGGTCAAACATTGTTGGTAACAAGTTAAATACCAGTAGTATTTTGATTAGTAGAATTGGTAGTTGTTGCCTGTGAGGTGGATGGTCCATCGACTCTTGGATTTTGAGCAATACCGACTCTAATATGAACCGAAACATCACTCACATTCGAGGTTACAGCAACTGGTTCTTGAAGTGGTATGCCTTTGAAAAAAATAAAAAGAAAAATGATCTTTTATATTATGTGACGCAATAATAGCATCACTTAGCATCAAAAATAACTTACTTGGAGGTGGTAAATAGCCATAAAACAACACATCACCGCAAGACGATTGAGTCAAGTCTTCACAAAGTATCAAACGCTTAACTAATGGAGTAATCCCGTAATATTCAGCCTCATGTCTCAAAGTACGAATATCTACATTTTTCAGATCAATGTCCTTAGTACGAAGATAATTCAATATAATGGAGAACAATTTTGGATCTCTGTCTATAAACAGCGCACCAGTTTCATCTTTGTGACTGTCAATTCTGTTACTTAACAGCGCTGTGAAGAATGAATCCTGAATCCACGTCAATGTTTGACGAGATGTGGAGAATCTAAAAGGAAAAACAATTTGTATAAAAAGTATATTAAATAATTAAAAAAAATATATGTAAAAATATACATAAACTATATCGCGAGAAAATAAAAACTTTCAAGTTGCATTAAAAGAGTTAAGTAAACACTCCGTAAAAAAACTCTTAACAAAAAGTAATAATCACTATAAATAGTGATCTACCTGGTGCCGCCAACGTTTAGGTGAACGATGTCGCTCACACCTAAATAAGGCGCAGCCATTCTCGTATTTTATCTTGTGTTTCTATAATGACACTTCATATCCCGCAAGAATGCTAGCTGTCCATAAGGGTTTTTATACTGTATACGTGTCCTTTCAGTCCATCGAAGCTCTTTAACACTATCTTACATATAAATTATTAGTTTAACGAATTATAACTTTACTGACATTCAATCTGCAAGAGAGAGTTGTCTGGTTAAAAGTTTTTTTTATTAGCTACCGAACTGGCGAAATGATCGCTCGTGCATCATTTTTCGTGCTCATCGAGTCGTCAATATTTGCAAATAACCAAAACACTCTTCCGGTAGGTTATGTGCGCGTCGAAAAAGGCACGAGCAACTGACAGAGATTCTCAACCAAACGCAATCGAGAAGTCGGAATGCGATACTATCGACGGAGAGATCGATATGTAATCGAATTTGCATGCGCATTACGAAAATAACGTGCATTTGATTATCGATGCGTTTGTTTTGGACGTTTACGCGCTTTAAGCGTCAGTTCATTTTTATTACTTTTTAAATGTGAAACAAAGATAGACTGACGCTCAGAACGCGTGAGTGTCTAAAGCAAACATATTCTTTTAAATAACCATAAACTACTAGTCGGTATTTTGAACGCTGTTCAATAAAGATTAACAGCATCTCAGTCGACCACAAGTGACAAAAAAAATATAAAAGTGACAACATAAGGTCCGAACGTTTCCGTTTATCCTTCCTATATTAAAAAAAGCATTTATCTAGATAATATTATCTAGATAAAATTATCTAGATAAAATAATATTATCTAGATAAAATTATCTAGATAAGATAATATTATCTAGATAAAATTATTTCTCGTAAGATCGAGAGAATAAATAATAAAAAGCGATTTTAAGACAGTTCGTCGTATATGTAGAGTAAATTAAAAACGTAACTAAAGTCGCCTGACAGAAAAGAGTAAAAAAACAACACGTGAAAATAACGTGACTGTAATTTATATTATATATAACATTAAATAATACATATACATATAATTTTTTAATTATATATTTATATTATACTTTATATTGTATTATATGTATTATGTACATACTACAGAGTAATGTCACTGACCTCGGTCGCGCGGCCTTGGCGGAGTCACTGACCTCGGCCGCGCGGCCTTGGCGAAGCACTGACCTCGGCCGCGCAACCTTGGTGAAAGGGTCACTGACCTCGGCCGCGCGACCGCGGCGGTGTTACTGACTTCGGACACGTGATTACAGTATATATATGTATAAATACATATATGCGTATTTGTTTATGTTATATATAAATATAGAATATTACATATACTATATATGTATAATATTCTCTGTTTTACCCTTTTAGCTCACGTGACTTTAGTCACGTGTTGTTTTTCCATTTCTCTCTCTCACTATTTTGTGAGTTTGATTTTCATTCGTTATTTATGTATCGCATCTATTGTTGTCTCTTTTTCGCGTAGCCGATTAGTTGGTTGATCGAATCGAGTCAAGTCGAATCAAATCGGTAAAATCAAAAAAAAATAAACATACTATTATCTTGATAAGATGATTTTATCTTGCAAAAAATTAATTATATCCTCATAAGATAATTTTATATTGCAAAAAAATAATTAAATCCTCATAAGATAATTTTATCTTGCAAAAAAATAATTAAACACTCATAAGGTGCTTTTATCTTGCAAAAAATCAATTATTCCCTCATAAAATGATTTTATCTTGCGAAAAATCAATTATTCCCTCATAAGATAACTTTATCTTGCGAAAAAGCAATTATTCCCTCATAAGATAACATTCCATTGCGAAAATGCCATTATTCCCTCATAAGATGATTTTGTATTGCAAAATTGCGAATATTTCCTCATAGGAAAATATCGCATTGCAAAATTGCGAAATCTCCCTCATGTGAGAAATTCGCGAATTTGAGGAAATTGCGAATTCTCCCTCATATGAGGAGATCGCGAATTTGAGGGGATTGCGAATTCTCCCTCATATGAGGGAATCGCGAATTTGAGGGGATTGCGAATTTTCAATCATATGAGGAAATCGCGAATTTTTTGGGGATCGCGAATTTTCAATCATATGAGGAGATCGCGAATTTTTTGGGGATCGCGAATTTTCAATCATATGAGGAGATCGCGA